GATAGGACAACCTCTTTATTAGCACCCCAATGTTCCACCTACAACTACATATTGCTTATATCATTTTCAATTGGCACCATAAAATCACCTTCCACATGTCGCTCAAGAAGACTCAAAATTGAATCCTCTTTATTCTTGCACTAACTCCCATTGGCTTGGTTGACCGAGCCAACCTATGATTTATGTGCTTGTTGACCATCTGAATTTTTTAAAGATCCACCAATAATATTTTGAATTTATACGCTTGTTGACCCTTGGAAGTAATGCTATTTTAGTGCAGAAAGTGGAGGATTCTAAGAAAATTATAGGGAATATAAGAATTTGAATAAACTTCAAGGCACGTAAATCGTTATCTTTTAAGAGATATTTCTTCCTTATCCAAAAATGTCACAATGGGTATAAATGAAAATCTCTTTTAGGATACAATGGAGGTATTTGATTCAAACTGTGACGATTTGATCAAATCAAGAAAACACTATATGAGAGAACTAATGATGCCAAGGGAACGAAAGAAGAAGTATGATGAATATCTATATTATATCTGTAAATGGGCAACATACTCAATATATAAGGAGAAAAGTGTCCGTTGGAATGAATAGGTATGTCTGTTGGAGAAAAAAACGGTTAACTTCCAACACATACACGGAAATCGGAATTCTTTTTCGGAGACAACGAGCTCCCACGAGGGGCGCTGCCCCCTCGTCCCCCACAACCTGATCGGGCAGGTTGATCCCCATTTCAAAGCGACAAACCATTTGTATAACAACAATAAACAAATAAATAAATTATGAAAAAATATCTAACAAAAAGAAGCGAGACCACCTACCTTTTAATGAACCTTCATTCAAGAATAAAGCGCCCACGGATGGAGTATAAGTTTGTACACAATCACCTCACTTTTTATACTTTGCTGTCTTCTATATTTCCACCGAAGGCCAACTCACGGACACTCCTAAAAAACCATTATCATCAACATAAGTTTTACAATTATCAACCACAACTATTATACAATCAAAATATTCTTCAGCCAAGCAAAACTGTCTCAAAGTAGTGAAACTACTGCATATATAGTTACTAATCTTCATCATTGAGGCTTTAACAATATACAATGTATAATATAAATTTCGCACAAAATTCCTGATAAAAAGAGCTCATTATAATATTAACAATACATCCTCAACCATGAATGGTCGGCGTTGGGAAAAATATGTGTGCAACGTGATTTTTATTCAACTGATGTGAATTCTTGATTTTTTGGCTTCATTTAACTTCATGGATTTTTTGGGTTGAGCGTCTGTGTAATATACGTGTTCAATGGAATCTTATTTCAACGGATGAATGTTGAGAATTGTGTTTAAATTCACGGGCATCTTCTATTTTAGTGCAGAGGCCTTCAACATGTTACATGATATCACCACGTTATGAAAGGTAAAGAAATGATGAAAAGAAAATAGAGAATTGGACATGGAATTGACATATAAAAGAAGGGCTTGTGATAGTCAATCATTAGAAGTTGCGCTTGAAGAAATTAATTCCCCGTCTGCTATATATATTAAAATGCTCGACACCATAATTTTGTAGTATTAAAGCATTAGCCCCTGGTCTTTCTTTTTATTCAGGACTCGTTTGAGTCCCATTTTTGTCAAAGCATTCCATAAACTTCAACCGCATCTAATGGAAACATCAAAGATG